TTCTCTCATCTTGCTCTGGATACTGATAGTGAGAGTAGTCATGAAAGCAACTCAAGCACTACTAAAGAATCATCAAACACAAAATAAATCATCTTGTGGTAGACATTTACACCTGTACCAAATGTCATGGAAATTTATCAAAAGGTGTTAAGGCTCCCCCACTGAAAACCAGAAACATCTCAATGAAAAGTAATAGGACACTTACAGACATTACTAAACTAACAGCGATTATTTATCCCAGTCACATATAGATCTAAAATATGTTAGCCAGTCCACCCAGTGAATGGTAATAAATATTTCAAGAGCTAAATTTAAAACTTGAAATAGCATCTGTGAAAAGAAAAGTATTTTTCCTTTTTCCCTGGGAAAATGATATAGATCCTACTTATCCACATTAGACACATGTGCTGGCAAGACTGAAGTTGTCTGTGCCTGAATAAAATGAGCTAAAAATAAACATTTGAGCTGAGAGCATTTACTGTCAGCTGCCAGATTTTATGACAGTTTCATTAAATCTGCACAACTGCATTCAGGTAGATTAAAAATTGTTTGAGTCTACAGTTGTTAATGTGTAAAAGCAATGAATATGAGCGTTAATCTACCTTCTGTTCAGAGCCAGGTCCAAACAAGAACACAGTGCAGCCACTCATAAATTGTTGGCAACTCAGACACACATTGTTCTGTCAGTCTAACAGACTGTCTATAATGGAAAAACTGCATAATTAAAAAAAAAAAAAAAAAACGTAATTATACAGGAAAATAAGTCTTTGCCGATTACACACAGAAGAAAACTATTGGAAGAACAACTTCTTGAGAACTTATGGTGTGTTCAATTTATTTCACAATTTTGAAATGTCAAAGCTTTATGTCAAATAAATCTGTCCAAACGCTCCCTAAAGCCAGATCTGTGACTCGAAAGGTTGGACGTAATGAGCCAACACTGCGTTCAACTTCAATGTTGCTGGATATTGTCGAGATGTTTTTCAGGAGCTGTGAGGTTTTTTTCTTGTTTTTGAATCATGATCACTAACATTAAGTGAGGCCGTGCTTTAAGTGTTGTTTCAGTTTCTTTTGAGATCTCTTGGATCAGTGTTGTTGCATTCATGTAATTATGGTTGGCCAGCCACTCCTGAGATTACCACTTATCCATGTTTTTTGACCCTTGCTGTTACTGAATATTGTTAATCGGTTAATGATGTCTTGTTCCTATATATATATAAACATATATATATATATAGCCTACTTCATTTAGTCAAACTATGATTAGTTTTGCTTGATTTATACACTGAGAATCTGCTGGTTAACCCAGACTGAATTAACTTAAATATATATCTTGATTTGTTACACATACTGACAAATCATTGTAATTAAATACAGTAAATTACATTTTTGCACCAAACTCAAACTCAACCGTCTTGAAGGCACCTTCTATTCCTATTATGACCCAATCTTTGCTCCTTTCTTTCTGATTCTCCAAACCAAAGATTAGGCATTCACTGACTGCAGAACATAACCTCACTCCCAATTGTTTCTGTAATTTATTACAAGGTAGTACATTAAGCACAGCTGTTTATGTGTTGCCCACTTCACAGATGCCAGAGAAAAAGTGTTCAAGTATAACTTGACAGTTCATCAATAAGAGTTGTCCTGATTGTGACTTTCTGTTCTTAAAGGAGCAACAAACCTGAAAGCTGTTGAATAATGAAGGTGAAACATTATTGGAAAGCTTTCCTTGACAATTAGGACGTCCATCCTTGTAGGTTGAATGTCAACTAACTTGAGATCAATTTATCTCTACAAGAAACTTGGACTGGATGATAAAGCATCAGACTAATGCTAAGTCAGCTTTTTTTCATTCATTATGCACACAGTCTAATAAATAAAGTTTGTGTGTTCTGACTTCTCTGGAGGTGGATTTTCATGTATGAATATTCATGATCTTAGCACGTCTAAATGCAAGTAGGCCAGATTCAAAATTATCCCCAGCCGCCTGTCAGATGGGTGATGGCTTTCGCTTGTCTTTTCCTCCGTGCACGTTTTGAGTCCTGGGAGTGACATGCAGACGCTAATTAATCTTGTTGAGTTACACTAATTAGAAAAGTACTGGCACACATTTGAATATGGGACAGTTTGAGGAATGAAATGACTTAATGTTCCCATCAGAGACATTTTGTAAGGCAGACATCCCCCTGGTATATCTCCAAAAATGTTCTCTAGATTTTAGGCTCAGCAGCTGTGATAACTTCCTATAATGGATGTTGCCATTTTGTCTGTTTTCAGACTAATGCCAAACCACTGCCTTTGGCGAAGACGTGTTTCGTTTGACCCAGATATTCTTCAGCTTTGCAATCTTAAAATTTTCATTTTGATGGTATACCTCTTTGGATTTAGCTACATAAATAATTCATTTCAGAATCATAGCCTCAAGTATAAGAGAACATTGCAGTATTTGGTAATCATTAATAAGTAATTTATTCCCATTCTCTCTGCTCCTTGTCTGAAAAAAACTTTGGATTTATGGCAAATTACTTCATCTAATATCAAATAATTATTGAGCAAAAGTGTGATAAATTAGATTCATGTTATCTCATGTCTGCTGACATAGGATTTTAATGCATAAAAAATATGTGCAAAAGTGTTCACAGACATTTCCTTAATTTTTAATCCTCATTGCTGATATTATTTTCTTTAGGTTTCTGAAATATATCCATGAGGTCGGTATGAGTTCTCAAGGACATGTCCGCGAAGACATTGACGAAAATGGGAAAAACCTGGGGAGAGGAATTGAAATTTTAATGGAGAGCGGCGGCACCAACACAGCTGACGGCTATGTAACACCTCAGACAGCTTAAATATCACCGCTAATTAACACAGAGAGGTAGGCTGTCACAGGCATGATGGATGCTCAGAGGGCGCAGATTGTTGCTTTCAACCAACCAGCGATTCCTTTATTAATCAAAGCGTGAGATGAAAAGGCTCTCCCACACCTCGGGGAGAGGAAGATAGCAGGAGCCATTGTTGGGAGGGTTTCAATCACTTGCAGTGAGCCCAGTAATGTGTTTGATCAGGGCACCGCCAAACATTTGATGGAAGACGGAACGTTTTCTTGCCGTTTGGCGTTTGTTTCTGTAAACCTCTGAACCACCCGTATGTTAATGTGCCACGGCACAGACAGCTCAGATTTACTGATTGTCTAGGAGATTTCTATTTGGAGGAAGTATTTTTTTGTACACCTCTGGCGGGAGAGAGAAGAATATAGAGGGCCACCAATCAGTGTTTTGGGGGAGTCTTCCATGATGAAGGGAGCCACAGTGAGAATAAGCCAGCACTCCCACACTTCACCTTCTGACTGTGTGATTAGTATGAGATGATTTCAAACCAAGATGATTTCAGCACTCTGTGCATGAAGATGGAATGTTATCTCATCTTTTGAGATCTCCTCTCCATCTCCCTCACTTAGGTAGGGCCCATTTTTAAGTGCCAGGGGCCTGTGGGTCCTGTAAATCAGGTGGCGGCAGGAGGGGATGTCTCCCAGGGGGGGAGAGCGCACTTCCAGCAGCCTTCAGGCTGATCTCATCTTACCTTTCCTTATACTGTAATTTAAAAAGTCAATAGCAAAGAGGAAGGTGTTAAAGGGTATCTGCACTCTTTACCTTACGGCTAATATGCCAATACAGGACAAGACTTTTCACCTTTCTGGCAGAAGATTGTGAGTTTAATCAAAAGCATTTAGGGAGAAATACGCTCCTTTCTCTGGCTGGGTTTCCACTTAACTTAAGGGCAACCTATCAAATAACACTTTTCTTGATTTTAGTCAGTGTTGCTAACTCAAGTTGCTTCTCACTCCAAATAAGGATGCTGCCTACACTCAGCTGCAGGCTGAGTGTAGGTCCAGGTAACGTTTGATATATGTTTGCTATAATTTTCTTATCTGTGCATATTCATTTTCCCAAAAATAATCAGAATTAATAAGCCATAAACATGTTAAAATTCTATATGCAAGTCAATTTAACAATTATTTTCCTGTGGCACTATGGCACGCCACATCCCCAATTATTTGGATTCTAATTAACTAATAATTTTCTGATTAATTTAATTATGAATTTGTATTAACTGTTCATCTTTAACTATGTCATTGTGTTTGAGATAGATTTATGTGATGAGTCCCATTTTACTTCTTGATTTTAACTACAGAAATAAACTGGCCATGTTCCAATGAAGTGAGATGTAAGTGTAAAAATATATATATAGTTCTTCGTTTTGTTACACGAGCCACGGGCAAAATACTTCCCGATTCCGCCTCTTCTCACTGGACTGAAAATAGGTCCTCGTTTGGTCATGGCTGCCATCTACTGACAAAACTCATGCATTACTGATTTTGAAGAAAACCACAGAACATTCACTGAGCTAATAAATGTCAAACCTTTTTGAACATCAGCCTGGCTTTTCAGAAAACGTAATTTACAGTAAAATAAGAAATCTTTATTGACATAGAGTTAACATCTGCAAATATCTTTGTTGCAGAGTAAATGATCAGCTTTTACTGTTCGGAAAAAAAAAAAAAAAAGACAATAACGACAAAGCAAAAACCTTTACTGTGAGCCGAAACTGAACTAAATTTTTTCTAAAAGCAGATGCTGAAAGCCTTCACTCAGGGAAAAAACAAAACAAAACAAAACAACAACAGAAAAACTGTACCAAAAATTAAAAAGAAATTACAAGCTTATTTCACATATACATGCAAATTCTAAAACAAAGAATGCTCTAATCATTGATTAACTGAGATTTTACAGATGGTTGGTTTTACTTTTAGGAAATAATGGGACTACAGATTATACCTTTGTAAAAACTGATTCACTTTTTGAGTTTAGACCCAAGAAACACTATTCCATAAACCATAAAAAAACAACATATATATATATATATATATATATATATATATATATATATATATATATATATATATATATATATATATATATATATATATATATAAGCTGTAAAAAGTCAGTGATTGGCCCTAAACTCAAATCTACACTGCTAATATCAACAGAGTTACCTGACTATTACAACATTTCGTCTAAATAACTGTTAAAACTTGCCCTAAAACTGCAATGTCTTCGGTCCAGTGATTACAGTCCAGCCTGAAGGAGTTATTTGCCAAAAATGATCCATCTTCACTGAAGATGCTTAAGGTTAAAGGAACCATAAAAAGAAACAACACTGTAAAATCAAGTACAAATTCAGTCAGGCAGTGGTCATAATTTAAAATCTATGGATGAATTCATGCCTTAATTTGATCTGCACTAAGATCATAAGCAGGAACTAACTGAGAAAATAATCTATACATTAAATAATCCATATGACCAGCACCTGTTTGATTCTATTCTGAACACTAAAAATGTCCATCTGGCTAAGCTAAGTACCTTTATTACGGGTAAATGTCTGTTGAAATCACAGAGCCTCTGATCAACAAACAGGAACAAGAAGACAACAGTGTCTTCTAGCAGAGACAGTAAACACAATGAATTTACATTTATTTTATGGAAGCACTTTGGAGAAACTAAAAAGATTTAGCAAAAAAAATGATTGCTGCTCACCAAAGGTGCCAAAACATCTGGTTCCCATTAAAACTTGTGAGTCACCTAATTGCTACAACAGTGCGACAAAAGCCACTGTAAAACAAAGTCTGTTTTTAACGTTTGGCAATAGGCGCTCCAACTCGACTAATAAAAAGATCAATTAGATGTTAGTGTTTTTCAGGTGAATTATTTTTACACAGCTGTGATTGTGCAGCTGTGGTCCAGATGGAGGGTTAGAAAATTGAGAAGCTGGTTTAGTGTAGTAGTGAACATATTAGTGGTGGCGATATCAGTTGCAATTAATGCATTTGTCGTGTTGCGGATTTGGAGGAGCCGATCAACATCAGGGGAGACATGGGCTGTTTTTAGACCCTCCAGAGAAAATATACACCACAAAGGGCCTAGGCAGGTGGAAAGTTTTCAGGTGTTTCTGTTCAAGTGAAAAGATTAAATAAACATTCATAAACCCAGAGTCGAAAGGTGCCTTCAGTCAGACTTGGAAACCAAATGCAGTGAGACTGTGTCTACAAGGGTAAATATTACATTGGGACACAAAGCACAAATTTATAAAACTTTGGAAGAATGTATGTTGAATTCCAATCAATATTGCAAACACCGATACTACAAGGTATGCTTGTAATTGATGGTGCAGCTCTATTTTAGATTTTTTTAATTGGGTGTAAAAATACATTTTAAGTGTGCATTAAAATAAACTGCCTTGGATTTTCCTCTTTTAGCTAAATTAACTGATTTAAGTAATTTGCTTTGATAAACACCTCAGAAATCTGCTGTGAGCTTCATTTTAACTGTAGTGCGTTTGTGTTGGATATTTAAAGATTTTGTGCTAATATATGCTTAAATGCGGTGTGGTTTTGTGTCTTTCTCAGTAACATGTTCCTGTGCAGTGGGATGAGCTGCAAGTCGGAAGGAGATTTAAAAAGTAGAGACTCAGAAATTGAGAGTACCCAGCTGTGTTTTTTTTTCACTTCACTTATTGCCATAACCTCATGTTCAAATCAGTCCATTTGCTTTTGCTCATGTATGAGAACTCAACCACGATGAGGAGTTGAGAGCAAACTATCGTGTGGCTGTCTTTAGCTAAGGTTACTTTCAGAGTAAAACTCCCACGAGTGATGTCGTGAAGCTGCAGGCAGGTGTTAGGAAGCTGAGGGTCAAACAGTCAGACGGCTGTTAGAGGGATGGAGGGGACTCCAGGAAGCTGTATGGGCAGATGCATCCTGGGAGTACTGGTTTTCCTCTTTGCTCATGCCAGCTGTACACAGCCGCCGGTGTCTTAGCAGCCTGTCAGTCCGTGAAAAGTTCTGCAGAAAGCCAAACAAAGTTGCTGGTTCAAGAAAATGCAGATGCCAATGGGATCTGCAGGATTTGGACTCGCATAAAGATGTAGAGCATTTTAAAAATCAATTGTCTGAAACAGAAACTATTACAGACGGACCTGGTGGCATCGATCACACTGATACGGCTTCTCTCCACTGTGCACCCTCTTGTGTCTGTCCAGATGGTACCGCTGAATGAACCGCATATCACATGCATCACAAGCATATGGCTTTTCCCCTAGAAACAATCAGAGGTGTGAACAATTTATCAGAATGTCCAAGAACTTCTTGTGTCCTGACCTATTTGAGTTAGACACATAAATTCAATTTGCAAGTTTTACTTTTTATTTTTCTGATCTCTGCTTTTGGGTGCTCACCTGTATGTGTGAGAATATGTCGCTTGAGGTGGTAGCTGCTCCGGAAAGCCCCGTAGCAATGATCGCAGATGAAGTTCTTCTGAACTCTTAAGGAACTGTCGTCATCCATATCCATGTGCGGAATCAACACCTCCACTTTCTCTTTTACCTTATGGGACGACTTTTTGTGTTTCTTCTTGGGCTGCAAATTCTGGTTTGTCTGGACGTCTTTCCCATCGATAATCCTTGATGTGTGATACTCCCCATCTTTTCGGATTAGCTTTTAAAACAGGAAAAAAAAACATAATAGAGACTGGATATAGTCGAGGAATACATTTGGGAAAGGGAAGAACTGCCAACAAAGCAGTTGTACTGACTGGATCCTAAAGTGGAGACAAATGATGGGAAAAAGTGCAGTAAAACAGTACATGTTAACTCCAGCAATTAAATAATCATTTCATGACCAACAAGGCCAGGATGGTTTGGATAGCTTTTTTCTTAAATGTTTAAAATTAGCAGTTGAATAAAATTGTTTTCTACGTAACTTTAACAAAGTACAAATTTTTTTCTGATTAATTGAAAAATTTTCAGTGTGACAAAAAATAAGAAGCAAACACAGAAAAAGGAGGTTAATATTTTTTTTTACAACATTATAAAATTATTTTAATGAGTGATATTCCCATTGCCTAATTTGTTTTGCACATAATCAGAAGAAGTAGCAGCAAAAGATAGATATGCAAACTTCTAAACATGGAGAGTGGTCTTTGTTTCTCTCACCAGCGGTGGAAGGCTCCCTTCGGAAGCATGGCCCATGTGACTGTGATGGCCTTGTCCATGGTGAACTTGGTGCCCATGATGGTTGAGGCTGTGCTGCGAATGTGTCTGGTGGTCCTCACCACTGGACCTGTGGCCATGACCCGAAGAGGACATCATCTTCTTCTGGCTTGGGATGTTGTTGGCTTGCATCAGGGCCATGCTGGACAACACCGCCTCGCAGCCCAGCAACCCAGCCTGGCAACACAAACAGCAACACATCAGAGCGTTCCAATGGGGGTGGTGAGGTCGGAGGACTCCTCATGGAGACTTGGAAGCTGGAGGTGGGGGTTAGAATTAGGGATGTGACACAACAATGCAATCGTGATGGTGATTTTTGGAGACGAAGAGACTTCCACTGACCCATTTCATATGGTCTCGAACTGAATTGTTGGAATGGTGTGTCATCGCCGTGGTTTGAATGCGTGTGTGTTTGAGGGGACAGAGAGGGGTGGGCTTCGCTCAGGATGAGGGGGTGACAGGAGACCACAGTCCCCCCCAAACCATCAGGGACCAAAGCCTGAAAATAAAGGCACATGGATGGATATGCAACCAAGTACTGAGATCAAACTTTACTGAGAGCTTCTTATTGGGTGAAGTAACCTAAAATGTTTGGTGCAAAGAAAAAACAAAAAAATAAAACACAAAATGCATCAGACTTATTCTATAACTCATGTGTACCAAGCATCACAATGCAAAACATAAAATCAAAAAAATCAAATCAAAACCATCTTTATCTGCTCTCAATATTACACTTTGATGGAGAATGCTCAAAATGAACAAAGTTTTAACAAAACAGCTGGTGGTAGTTTAATTAAAAAAAGTTGAGATAGTGATCTCTGAAGCTTATTTTCTAATCCCATTTGTCAAAGTCACAAACTAGAAAATTTCCTCAAACACTGAGGAAAACAAACATACACAGAAAACCTGATCACATTTCAAGTACTTAAACTAAATGTTACTGATTTTCCTGCAGTTTTATTTAGACACAGAGGATTAGAGTTACTTGGAGGATGGAGAAGCTTCACAAACACATAGCTCCTATATGCAGGCTCTTTTGATATACTAAATCATTTTTGATGTACAGTAATAGAGTAAAGACTCCATCAATATTTTAATCTTATTCACAACCATAATCTTTGTATAACTCCAAAATTTCTCCTTTATAAAATCCATAGGACTTTGATATCAATATTATCTCATGGAACCTAAAAATAATTTATCCCCAGAGCCAACAGTTCAAAATGTGCTGTACACAGTCACTAACATGATGCGTCATGTAGATCTGTTGCAGTAAACAATAAATAAAAAAATTGGAATGACAAATTAAAATTAGATCAATATTTTCCATTTGCACATTTTTTTGTTTTTCAGTTTTCTCTCTCTCTCTTTCTGTCAAAACTGGTCTTCAGTCTGATGTGTTGGACTCAACTAGACCTTTTTTGAAGGACAATTTTGTTTACAGAGACTTCATAATTCAATGTACTTGTGGTTTTTGTTGTTTATTTAATTCTGATATTTAATTAAACAAATAGTTTAATGAAATCTTCCTGTTCCAGTGTCAAATTGAAATGGCGCTGGTCTAATGGCATGGCAAACATAAAAAACAAAAAAAAAAAAAAAAAATCTAAATACAGATTCTCATTATTCGTATTTTTTTCCCCCTGAGATTAATGTCATGGTAGTTATGTATTAAAAGGATTGTTGCACATTAGTTCAACAGAGTAAGTGCAACTTCATAGTGTTAGAACAGTCAGACGCCAGTTTATGAGAACTCACAGATGTTACAGGAATAAGTAGCTGAAAATCTGCTTTTGAACAACTGACAGGAGAGCCATCAGCATGAATCAATGGTAAATACATTACCATTGAATATGGTAATGTATTTTATATTAAATAAAAAGAGAAAGAGAGACAAAAAACAAACAAAACATCTGTTTTCAGAAAAGGTAAAAGCAACTAACATTTCCATATGAAAACAGCTCTACACCACTAATACAAATGTAAAACGTTGACAAAAAATAAATAAAGTTCATGATGTTTTTTTCCGGTGAATCAAGATGTCATGAACTTTGTGACGTCTTATAATCACAAAGTTCATTGTGTTCTTATTCAAAACACCAACATGAAGCAGCTCAACATTTTAAAGAATAAATCATTTTTAAGTGTGTGAATAAATCTTTTGCTGCAACTGGAGCTGTGAGTCGTTTGTGGCATCATAAATGCACCGGCTTTTCCTGCCTAGTAGAGACTGACTTCTCCCTCAATTTGCAGTTGCTTAAAGGTTTATGTATATTTTAGGTTACTGTATACCGAATCATGTAACCAGGCTTAAAAAGAAGAAGAAGAAAGCATTCAACCGAGCTTCGCTCATCGTTTATTAAATACTCATCTATGAATTCAGAGTGAAATTCTTGCTTCCAGACAATTACGTATTTAAATGTCAAATCATTCGCCAAGAGATGCATGCCGTTTTCTTATGTTACAAAAACGCTTCGTCGATAACATCATCTTTACTCGAACCACAGCAATATGTAAAACACACTGATCCTGCAGCTGTGCAACAATGAAGGTTTAATAAAGGAGCAACTCTAGCGCAGCTACAGCGGACCCCCACCCCCAGAAACAGACAACAACAGCCAGGCAGCAGGCAGAGGCTGGCAGGGCGGGCTCAAAGCCTCCCTCGTCGGCTACAGCAGCCAGAGACAGCCGGGCGAAACGTTACACGGAGCTTAGAGACGGACGAATGGAAACTGCTGCCACGCAAAACACTCACCTTTCGATTTTGTACGGTTTTGTGGATTCTTATGGCTTGTCGTGGTTCCAATTTTTTCCTCAGTTTACAAACACTGACAGGAAATACTATCACCGGAAGTGCTACCCGGAGAGAGCTGCGATTGGTCGTATGGAGGAGCACGTGACCACTTAACCCGTCTTTGGTTCGGGGTCGAAGAAATTAACCCGAACGCGTATTCTTGCAGTTATTCTTATAAAATATCAATTACGGATGTTTATAAATGTGATCAATTATATTTCACATGATTTTCCAGAAGTAAATTATAAAAGACAATCAATAAAAGCGAAGTAGGGAAACTAAAAATCTACAAAATAAAGATAAATACAAATAGTGGGTAACAGTGTATTTATTTATTTATTTTTAATTTAATTTATTTATTTATCCAGGTATGTCGTGTACCAGTGTGCTGTTATGCCACTATACTCTTACAGTAAGCTTAATAAGTGATGATTAAGGATGTTTAATGTTTTTCCACAATCTGTGACAATTATTTGTGTCATAAATCATTTCCGAGTCTTTCAATTTCATCCAGGAAGAAGTCCAGGTCTTTTTGGGAAACCAGTGGTGACAAAATGGTTATGCGGAAAAAGTTGACCCTGTCTCCAAGAGGTTGGTAGCCGACCATCATGGTGCCTTGTTTCATCATACGTTCCTTGATTACTGGAGCAACCTATGAACAAAACCCAAATGACAGAAAGATAAATAAGATACATTAGGAAATTAAAGAGTTTCGTTATTAAAATAAGCTAAAAATAACATTTCCATTAATGTCTACAAAATACATTTGGGCAAACTGTAATTTGAAAGTTGAAACTCTGACACACTATTCTTCAATCACGCACTGAAACAGAAACGCACCTTAGCCAGCCTGTTCTGGTAGTCTGCATTTTTTTCCTTCCCTCTCAGACTTGGCGGGATGAACCAAAAGCACACATTCACAAACTCCGGCTGTCCATGGGAGTAAAGTTTCAATATATAGTAAAAACATTTTGTTGAAAAATAATATTTTACTTGATTTAGATGTAAACTTACTTCCCTCAAAAGTTGGAACCCCTCTCTTCTCTTCATTTGATCCACCACATACCTGCAAAAAAAAGAACTGTAAAAAAAACTTTTACATTATTTTTTATTCATTTTCTTTAATTGCCACTAACTTATTCAAGTAAATGTAAGCAAGAAGAAACATTTATTTTCGAATGTAATACCTGAAGTATTTTATCTCCTTGTTGTTAATGTTTGGAAAAGCTAAAACACTTCGACCGTGAACTTATTTAACTAAAATTAAGTATGTATATTAGTAACTTAGCTTTTTAAAATACAAATGTGCTACATCGTGATCCACCTATTTTTAGGTTACACGTGCCAGAGATCAGGTTTTCAGATACAGAGAGGTGGAACATGTTTAAACTGTTTAAAAATTTGTTTTAGTGACATTATTGAAATATTTTAAGACAGAGTGTTTTCATGCATTATTAGCTCTGACAGCTTGAAAAAAAAAAAAAAAGGAAGGAAGGAGGAGAAATAAAACCAGATATACAGCAAGGCTGCCCACAAGCATTACTGAGCCTGCAGGCTACTCAGAAAAATGAAATGTTTTTAACGTTTTTGTTTTTTTTTTTGCAATGTTTTTATTTATGTATTTATTTTTTACCTTGCATGGAGAAAAGCTTTGTCTACACGCTGTTCCAGCCCAGCTGAGCCGACTGCTTTCCACATCAGCCACAGCTTCAGACAGTCCACCTTGCGGCTGCACTGCACAGACTTATCCCCAACATCCAGATTCACATCATAAAATTTGTCTTGCTGGAACAGATATGTTGCATTTGCACAATGGCACTTCTTCAGTAAATCCTGCGGAAACATTTGTTTATGATAAAAAAATAATAATGTATAGTAAAACCTTTTATATGAATATATCATGCAGAATAAAACCCAACCGTTGTATCCTTAAGCAGCAGAACAGAACATTGCAGGCCAGCAACCAGCATCTTGTGTTGATTCCAGGCTACTGAGCTTCCCCTGGAGATACACAGGTACCAAACCATTAACAAATATTGCACATCTAACAAACCTGCTGACAACGTGACTAAAACCTCTGTGTCGCTGCAAAGACACAAATCAAAATACCTTTTTTAGTTTAGAAAAGCAATACTTTCTAAAACTAAATTAATACCTGTGCACTCCCTTCATCAGATGACGGTGTTTCTTGGAAAACAGCACGCTTCCTCCCCAGGCAGCCTGAGACAAGCAAGTAAACAACAAAACGCCCCACATTTAAATCGCCACAGATTTAAACAAATACAGCAAAATCAGAGGGCTTCGACAGAAAGTATTATATCGCTGGAGGACTCACATCAATGTGCAGCCATAGCTTGTGTTTGTCACAAACATCGGCTATGCGATCCAGTGGATCAAAGGCCCCCTGTACCGTGGTGCCTGATGTGCAGCTCACAAAGAATGGAACCGCACCCTAATAGAAGAAAACATTAACTCATTATCTCTTGCAAAAGTATTATTACCCGGTGAACATTTTAACGCTTTGACACATAACAAACTTCAATTTATTTGTTTAGGATTTTAGGGGAAAGACCAACAAAGTGTAACATCATGAAGTGAGAAGAAGCCGTACAGATCCAAGGTTAAATAAAACTCAGTGCCTTTAGGAGTTAGTCTAATTACATACTAGAAATTAGATTACAAGTAGTCCACATGTGTGTAATTTAATGAAAGTCAAGGCTTAAGGTATTCATTAGATAACAGTAGACCAAGGAACACAGCAGACAGGGAAGGGAGAAGGTTGTGGTGGGGCTCAAAGCATCATTAGTGCATTTATACCATCCCTTCCAGGAAACATGGTTGTCACAGCTTCATGCCTTTCATCAGCAGGGACTGATAAATTGGTCAGAGTTGGTGGTAAGAAAGATGGAGCAGGGTGATCATGGAACCCATTCAAACTCCAGTCCAAAGTCAATGAACTTCAGACTGGAGTGGACATTCAGGACAACAATTCTAACCATACAGCCTGAGCTACACTAAAAGCGTATTTATGTGTAACTGTGAACCTGTTAAAGTACAAACCTAAATCAAAGTAAGAATCTGTGGCAAAACCCGGAAATTGCTGTTCACAGACAGTTTCTATCCAATCTGACTGAGGTTGACTTATTTTGGAAGGGAATGGGCAGAAATTTCAGTCTATAATGGTGCAAAGCTGACAGAGAAAACCCAAATGACTGTAGCTTTAACTGTAGTGAAAAGCACTTCTACAAAGTATTGACTCTGTTTTGTTGATTAAAACATTGCATCGCTTTTTTAAAGAATCCTATTTATTTAAAAATTGAAAGGAACATTTTTTCCTTTCACTTCTCAGTTACGCAAAGCACTTGTGTTGGTTCATCAATCAACATCTCAATAAAATGCAATGAAGGATGTGGTTTTTATTATGTCATTATGTGAAAAAGTTACAGGGTGGTAAATATGACGCAACATACATTATCTAAGACGGTCAAGGTGACAGTAGATAATACAGTAATCCTTTTATCTTACGTTTCTAAACATAAACTGAACTAAAGAATATTTACCTGAGATTTTGAAAGCTCTATTTTTTCATCCAGGTCTTCTGGGATCATGCGACCTCTAGTAAAAATAAACACATTGATGAGCAAAGCAAAGGCATAGGCTAACAATTTAATTTTAATTGCTGAGGTTTATAATGAATGTACCTAATAGTGAGAGTGAATTTATTTTTTTGAAAAATCTCTGATTACCATAGAAGGTAGATGTAAAATGAGCTCTTCTGACAACATGTACATACATATGTCTGGCATTTTTGAAGATAAATGAAGAAGAATGAAATAATAATTACCCATCATCCACTTTTACCAAGATGACATTGTCCATCCCAAAACCCATAAATGCAGCCCCCTTTTTCACAGAGTAATGGCTCTGGGAAAAAAATAAAAAATACACAGAAATATTATAAATGAGGTAAAATCAAGTTTAAATTTCTGTTTATAATGCCTTTCTTAAGAATAAATAGTTCTATGGCTTTTGTGATGTATTAACTGTATTGTGCATTTTAGAGTAGAGAAATTTGTAAGAGTTACAACTTCAGAGAAGAAGTAAAAAAAACAAATGTGAGTTTCCATGTTATATACAGAAAAAAACAAACCTTGTGCTTCCAAATTTTTGGCCTGCCTTATACATTTTGAACATCGCTTTATTCTCTCAGGTATGCAGTGCTGAAAAGACCTTCGTACCTCAGGGGATGTAAAGATGGTGAGTTGCGGGAGACTCCACAGGCCCTGGCTTTTGACCTCTGGGTAGAGTCTGTAGCGTGCAAGGTTCATGGCGTACATGTTGGAGGTGGAGCCTCCCGGGCAGAAAAGGCCGTCACCTTCTGTCCAGCCCACCAGCTCACGGAGCCCTCTGAGCACCTCAGCCTCCATCAGCACAAAGACTGGTGCCACTTCATAAGTGAAGCTATAAATAACATACAAAATGTCTGGTCGTTTTTTTTTTTTTTGTTTGTTTTGTTATTATTTTGTATTAAAAAGGGTATAATATGTACAGTATGCATTACCACACTTTTCAGATTTTTGTTTAATAAAGAAAAATAATAAACTATTATTAAAGTATATGACATGAAATTAAAAAAACTGCACTGAAATTGATTGTGCAATTTGACAAAATGTAAAATAAATCAGGATGCATGTAAACTTTTGCAAGATAGTGTAAAAAAGCAGGCAAATACACTTTTGATCAGCTATTTGAAGAAGATCAATCAACTTAAACCGAAAGAATATTCTCCAGTATTTGAGGCTGGAAGGACTCATGTCATAACCCCAATCTTTAGTGGGCTTAGCATCCCAAAAGGTTAACAGTACCACCAGTGGGAAATAAATGTTAGTGAAATAAAATTTTTTACATCGTCTACGGCTACGGCAAACTTTTGGCTTTGCTGTATTTTTTTGTCTCATACAGATTAGTGTTGAGAGCCTCAGCGAGGAAACGTCCAGCCAAAGAGTGATAGTCAACGCCACCAAACTGCTGATTGAAGAAACGTGGGTGACCTGAAAGTATTATGAAACACTTCCATCAGAATCAACAAAACAAAAATGTGATTTACACTTTTGATGGTCTCTGCCAGGTCTTACTTGTCTTGACGCTGTACTTGGCGACATCTCGTACTCTCTGCAGGAGGTTTTCCTGTGGCTCTCCCTTCTCTCTCAGCTCCAGATCCAGCAGCCGGGCCAGCTCCTCTGGCTCCCTCCATTCACACACCTGCACCAGTCATGCACAGATTATGGCTGTTAGTTCAGAAAACCAGTTATAATCCAACAGGCATTTGCATTTCTGGTGCTTTCATTTTCAGAGACCTTCTCCTTGACATCCGTGCCTTTGCAGAGGACTTCCTCCACGATAATTTTGAAGGCTTCATGAAGGAAGAGTTGTCCGTCTGCGTGGTTGATCAGAGGATCAGTCAGGTCACCAGTGGATGGTTCCATTATCAATCGGTCTGCTGCTGTTAGAAGAGTTTACAAACGAAGACTTATTGAAAGAGCTGCCAAACCTCTGAAAATTTTATAGATTGCATAAACAGGAAGAGAGCAGAAACATTCAACAAACCAAAGGTGAGAACAATGTAGGAGGGACTCAACCTTTGTCCCATAGTGAAAGTTAATTAATGATGTCTGAGAATAGTCTGCAGAGAGGGAGGAACAGCAGAATCTATTATGTACTTATTACATGTATATCACAAAAATAAGTATATCTGATGTAAATTTTTTATTAAATTTTAATTTACTCTTTTTAGTTCGCAACAAAATATGATTTAACTTTCAGATAACATTTCAGATGAAAAATTATGTGTTTTTGTAAAGAACTCTGTTAATGTTCTGATTGAAAAGAAAGTCAATTGAATTTCACTTATGCATCTGGAATTAATGAAATTTTAAGATTGTGCAATGCTATAGCTGATTATTGGCAGTCCTGGGAAAGATGTGTACAATGTCTTTAAATAAAACCATTAATATTGTGGGAACAATTGTTCAGTTAGTTAGAAATCACATTATTATTATTATTTTTTTCTTAATCACCAGTACCCTATGCACAGTCTTCTTTTACATATCACACAACTGAAACATCTTTTCTTATTTCTCTTTACAAAACAATTTAAGATCTTATTTTGAGTTTCCACAACAGCTTTTCTGTGGTGGAAGCCAAAAAACTAAGGCTGGTTCTGAGTCTCAAGAGCATTTCTAGGTTGATTTGGCCAAATTTTTATAATGTTGAAAGATCAATTGTGATCCATCTTCAGTTTACTGAGAGTCCACATCAATATGTATTTATTTTTCCTGATATTTTGATGAGCCAGGAAATTTTGGAGGGAAAGATGTTGGCCTGTAACATCACAGATCCTCCACTGTGGCATTGGTTGAATTTCTTTATTTATTCAGCTGGACTGTATTTGGCAGAAAAGCTCAATGTTGGCCTCATCCAACCAAATTAGAGTTCCAGTTAGAATGTTGCATTTAACTTCTGATAAAATAGGTTTTCTTAAAAGTCATTACTCAGAAGCAGCCAATAGATATGTATAGTTGAAACCATAATGCTGATCTTTGAAACACTTGTCCGCCCGCTGTCCATGGTAGCAAGACAATTTGCAAAATAAATGTTATATCCTATTTATTCAACACAACGTTAAAAGATTCAGAAGTAACCATTTTAATCAACCTAAAAAGAGTAAGTTACAGTTCCAACAATTTTACAACCAATAATTGTGTTAGGTCATTATTTTTGGAGATTTTTCTTTTAAGAGAATCTTTTGACGTATTTTCTTTGCTTGATAAATTTAAAAGAACTTGTGAAGAATGATCAGTAATTTTCTGAGAATAAGTGAATGACAGAGACAATAGATTTATTAAATCATGATTTAGTAAACCTCCCCCACCCAGAAATAAAAAAAAAAGTAATACAAAAGTATAAAAATATAATAGTCAAGTCTTTACATAAAAGTTTGTTCTTTTGTTTTTTTTAGTAAAAAACCCAAGCATCCCCAGTAGAAACATTTTCTTTAAAAGTGCTCAGCCTCTCTTGAGCGAAGACCTCAGTCAGTCTCCAGCAGGCATTTGATGCTCTCAAGAGGCACTGCTAAGATTTCCTGACTGAGGAGGGAGTGCAGGTGAGCGGCTGTGGCTTTTTCCCTCTTCTGATTGCGCCAGTAGTTGAGCATGGCAAAGACTCGCTCCGAGAAGGTTTTTTTCTCCTCTTCAATCTGCTCCAATGTCACAGTCGGGATGTCCAGAGCCAGTCTGCCAATCTCCCTCCAGGAACTGCCAAGGCTCTTAGCCACAATCATCAGCTGCTTCTCTGTCACCAGGCCACTGCCTGTGAAACAATAACCAGCAGAGCACCAGATGTTGTGAAAGCTGGTTTGACTGTGAGAGGGAAAATGTTTCACTGGAGAGGGACTCACCTTTGTGGTGGGTCTTTTTAGCTGGCATGGGATCTTGTAATTCGGATTCTTCAACTTGTAAATGAAAACATATTCTTATATTTGGCATTTTATAAACATTTACTGATAAGATTCTTGAAAACACAGGAGCTTTTTCTTTGTACCTGATGATGGTGTTCTCACACGCAGATCTTTAACAAAATCAAGCCTGGGAAATGTCTCCTGCATCTGTTTTTCCTTCAGCAGGTCCAACATTCCTTGTGCTGCTTTGGAGCCTCTCAAGATGACTTGATCCAAAAGTTCTTGAACCTTTTCACTAGGAACTTGACACGATTGAATCTTCTCGTAGCCCCGATCTGACACCAGAGAACGGGAATGTGCACACTGCACAACAAAATCTGCGTCCGCTCTGAGAATGTCTATTAGCGTCTCCTTCTGGGCTTTAAGCAGATGAACTACATTTGCAGCTTCTTCAGCCATGGCTGATCAATCCAGTGGGTAAATAATGGAAGACATGAAAAAAGTTAAGATTATTAACAAAACAAATGTCAGTTTTACAGCTATTTTTTATGCAGGTGCAGTGAAAATGTTCAAAAATGTCTTATGGGGCTGTGGAATTACAGAATAAAAATTGACTGAGGATAGATTTGTGGAGCAAATGCTGCAAAATGAGATCCAAACTGGGAAAGTTACTGTTTGTTTTCTTAACTAGAAACTATAAAAGCTTTGGGGGTTTGTAAAAAATGAGCTATAAGATTACGTACACAACTGCTGTTATTTCTTTATAATGAGTTAACATGTACAGCATTGAACAACATCAGATGTACCAAAAATGCAACCTTTCCAACAGAGCGCTGCATTTTGTTTTGAACAACTCATGCATATGCAGCACTGATTAGGTTTTGATTAGGCGATGGATCAAAATTTATTTTGTGATTTGTTAAACTTTTTATCTTGTGAAAACCCAAATAAATATGTCATCACTCAAATCTTGATTGCTCTTTCTACACATGCTGTGTAGAATTTACAGCCCACTGTAATTACTGAATGCACTATTTTCCAATATAATGAGACCTGAAGAGTTCTTTACCTTATTCTTGCTGCTCACTTCTGGATCAACACCTCCTCAATGTTAGCACCAAAAATCAATAAATTATTTTTAATTAGAATTTTTTTTTTATTCAACAATCCTTGCTGTAAAAAAGTCCAACAAATGGCTGCCCATCTGCCTGCTGTCAAAGAAAAAGGTGCCGGATGTTTTCGATCCTACTAACCAAATAAAAAAAAACCCTCACAGATAATACAAAGGAAACTACTGTGTTGTAACAACATTTTTTAATAGAAAATTTATATCAGAAAAATTATTTTTTAAAAATCCAAAGAGTGCCAATTATCAGCTTACCGCAGGGCCAAATCTGCACCATTCTTGAATTGCAACCAAGGGTCCACAGAAACTTATTCCAAAGGCCACAAAAGGCCCACTAACCGCACATTGTACAACCCTAGTGTAGAGCAACCCTGTCCAGGTCTGAACTAAACAAGTGGCAATAGTTTTTAAGCTGTTTTTTGTTCTGCTATAATAAATTTAACAACAGTTTCACATATTGCAAACTGTATTTTATAGAATAAAATATTACAGGACAAGTTTGAAAGGAAAGCTCCCGAAACCCCCCCCAAAAGCAAAAGAACAACAAACAGCCTTAAAATCCCCCTTTGGTGAGTTTTCACAAATCCAACAAATGAATCATAAACCACAAACTGTTTAATAGTTTAAACAGAGTTCACCTTCATGACACGTCAGAGCGTTTGAAGTGTTTTAAACAAAGTGACAGAATGAAAGGTTTGGACGTTTTATATGCATAACATGCGCTGAACCATTTCCCTCTCCAACAGGAATCACGACAATAAGCAACAAACAACGTTTATCTAATCACCTTCCTATTATTTACCTCAGCAACAGCTTCTGAAAGTGGAGGAATATTAGATCAAAATGTTCGCTCCCTTTTCCTGCTTCTTCGTCTTCTTCTTTGATCTCACAGGAGGTTGTCAAACAGCTGGAAGTGAACATTACCGCCACCTTCTGAGTTAGAATGTGAACTAGCATGGAAATCCTTTATTCTATTGAAAAGTTGTCTTTTTTTTAAAAAGAACTTATTAAAAAAAACAACAACAAAAACAACCATACTTCAAATATGGTCGGAATTCAAACAAAGTAACTCGTAAAAATGTTTTTTTTTTTTTTTCATGAAACTTTGAAGAATATCTGTTTCTCTGTTATATCTGATACATCCTGTAAGTGCAGGTTCCACCGTCTCCTGTGATTGGATTGACCAGTCATGCTCTTTGTCTCCGTCAAACGGACTGATAGTCGTGTAGGTGTTTGCTGCCCCCTGGTGGGAAAAATACCCACTGCAGGTACCCTGAACTGAAGTGCTCTTTTGAGCTCTTGTGGACCACAAACACAACATCCACAAAAAAAACAAATTTATAAAAATAAAAAAAAGATATTGTCAAATGAAGAATGATGATTAAAATGTTGCCAGAAACTATTTGTGTGTGCATTAAAAATAAGTAATAGAATTCACCCTAAAACTTAAAACAGTTGCTCACACATTATGTGTATCTGTCAGTTCTGGATGTGTTAACTTGTAGAATTTTCACAATTTGTTTTTCAGGCAATGCTAAGTGGATATGCAGGTAAAGTAACTGCTGGATATAAAAGCAATTTTTAATGCCACATTTTTTAAATAATAAATCCAGCTATTGATATGTCTATGTCATGATTGATTGCTTGAATGTCATTTTGCCTACAAACAAGTTTTTTATATTTTGTCACATCACAGCCTCAAACTTTTGTGTAATTTATTAAATTATTATTTTTTATTGCTGACCAATACAAAGTAGTGCATAATTATAAATCAAGTGCTAATCAATTGCACTTTATTTTTAAGCTTTAAAAAAATCTGAAAGTGAACTCACCTTCTGAGCATAAATTATTCGCAGTGTAAATACAGCCGCTCTATGAAGGACCCAATTGAAAATACTCAGCATCCTATGTACACCTTGCCTCCCTTCCAGCAGGAACTCTGTCCTAAACATGCTTCCAGAGCAACAATATACTTGTTTAGGTCAAAGCATGTTCAGGTTAAAATGGCCTAGTTAAACTCCAGATTCAATTAGAAATTTGTGGTAATGCCTGTGAATTAGTATATTAGTATTCACAGACACTCCCAATCTTAGATGCTTGCGCTTTCACTGCTTTGTGAAGACATGCTTAGAACTACAAGAAGTTGCATCTTTTTTATGGCACAAACATGCGTGTAGAGTCTGGATCTTTATGTGGAGACAAAGACACACACTAGCTAAAAGCTAAATTTAAATACAATTTTCAGAAATGGACAAAAATTGATAACAATGTTCATTACAGGTCGAGAGAGACACGCCCCAAATGACTTGCAGCCATAAATTCAAAGAAATGTGTGTCAGTTTCGGTGTTTTTCTGTGTTTTATTCTGTTTCTGTGTCCTGAGTTCTCCTCGTTGTCCTGTCTTCCCCTTGATTGTTCCCAGGTGTGTCTTATTCCCTTGATTACCCTCAGTGTATTTAGTCCCTCCTGTGTCCTTTGTTCCTCGTCGGGTCCTTGTCGTTGTCGTACTTTGCCTTTGTCTGCCGTTGTGTGTTTAGCCGCCTGTATGACCAGTTGCTACCGGCGTTGAGCCCTGGCTTCCGCTCAGCCGTGCTGCCTGGCCGCGGACTCTGTGTTTTTGTGGACTTATTTTCATTAAATTACTCACCATTCACCTACCTGGGTCTCCAGCGTCTGCCTCACCACCTCACCACCACCATTTCATGACAGAAGGACCCGACCAAGAATACGGTGAGGCTCGCTGAATTCAGCATGGACCAGAGGGTTTAGAGGAGCTGCTCCGTACTATCCAGGAGTATGAGGAGTCAAAGAGCACGTCCACGTTCGCCCTGAGACGGCCAGGGTTCGCGATACGCCTGGGCCTGCTACTGGACTATTGGGTTCCTCGTCTCCCGCACCCCGCGCTGGTGGAGCTGCAGCGGGAGGCAGAGGAGATACGCCGGACAGACTTTGCGGCCTGGGATGCTAAACCTCTGCCTCCCAGGCCAGACATCCGCTCCGGCAGCCCATCCCCAGCTCCATCCTCAGCTCCTCGTGCCGCTTCGCGGGACCCCGCTCCGGCTTCGGCTCCTGCTCCGCCGGATCCCGCTCCGGCTGCTCCTGCTCCGCCGGATTCCGCTCCGGCTCCTGCTCCTGCTCCGCCGGCTCCTGCTCCTGCTCCGCCGGATTCCGCTCCGGCCTCCGTGGACTCTGCTCCTCGTGCCGCTGCTCCGGCAGCCTCTATCCCTAGTGCTCCTTCCGAGATCCCTAGTGCTCCTTCCGAGATCCCTAGTGCTCCTTCCGAGATCCCTAGTGCTCCTTCCGAGATCCCTAGTGCTCCTCCCGAGATCCCTAGTGCTCCTCCCGAGATCCCTAGTGCTCCTCCCGAGATCCCTAGTGCTCCTCCCGAGATCCCTAGTGCTCCTCCCGAGATCCCTAGTGCTCCCGAGATCCTAGTGCTCCTCCCGAGATCCCTAGTGCTCCTCCCGAGATCCCTAGTGCTCCTCCCGAGATCCCTAGTGCTCCTCCCGAGATCCCTAGTGCTCCTCCCGAGATCCCCAGTGCTCCTCCCGAGATCCCCAGTGCTCCTCCCGAGATCCCCAGTGCTCCTCCCAGTGTTCCTCCCGAGCCTCCCAGTGTTCCTCCCGAGCCTCCCAGTGTTCCTCCCGAGCCTCCAGTGTTCCAGTGGTAAGCCAGACTCTTCAGAATTTTGTTTGTTAACAAATAAACTAAAAAACTGAATACCACGTACCATTTTCACTCTTGATTATGATTATGGTATATGTTACTTCGTGTTGGTCTATTTCATCAAATCCCAATAAAATACTCTCAGTTTTTACACTAAGATGCAAGGAAATGGACAAATGTTGAAGGGGTTTGACGACTTCTGCCAGGTACAGTAACGCTAGATCTATATTTAGTAATTAGTCATGTACTACTGCAATATGAAAGAGAGCTGATGCCAACCACTGTATGTCTAATAAGTAGAAATTCTTTTTAAAGGATCGAGCACTCCCTCCTGCTCTCATCATCGTCGATAAAATGTGAACCAAATTTCGCCTCTGTTGACACAACAAGAAGCTGAAGCATTGCATCGACACAGAGCAGAATGTTCTGGCTCGTACTGTGAAAATGGGATTCACCAGCCGTGAATAAATACTAGATTTGTATTGAATGAAAGAAAGAGACTCCCTGCGTAAACACTAAATAGAAACTGCGTGTGCTTTTATCTCTGTGCGTGAAAGACACAGGATCCATGCAGCAGTTTCAAAGTTTAAGGCCTCTGACTCCTACTGGACAACCGAGCTTCACATACCGACGTTCACATGTCTGCTTAGCCTATTTACCAATCTTCTGCTGTGGGAAATGACAAATCAATATCTTATTCCAGGGCAGGTATTTGCTTTGTGTGAGAGGAGAAAGCCTCTGGAGTCCTTTTCATCCAGACACAGTATAAACACGTTGAGTCACTGTGTGTGTGTATTAGCTGTCTGAATAAATCCAGTTTTCTCTGTGCCTACAGTGGGTAGAAAGAGCGGAGCAAATAAGCATTTGTTCTTCTTTTTCATTTTTTTTACCACCCATGTGAGAGTGCTTCATCAGAGACAAATGCACAATTTATCTACCTATATGCACTTCTGATGGCCTCATTGTGAGATAAAGCGGAGTTTCTTTTCTGTCACATTCTTAAGAAGATGTGTGACTGGAGCTAAAAAGCATTAATCTACTGATCTAAGAGAATGCGCAGACATTCAGGGCGCTTTCATGCCACAACGATGCTCCTCTGAAGTCAGTTTGCATCATATTACCGCAACACAAGAAAAGCGTAGTCTGTATAGGATATGACAATGAACTTAGTTTGCCGCTGATCAAGCACAAACCCACTCCCACTACTTTGCTTTTCAGGCCCCATCACACTCTCTTTCGAGTGGCAAACTCCACTCATATGTGTGGATGGTATAATAGCTCCCACCCTCGACAGCCCTGATGGAAAGTGATGTGGTTTCTGTATGAGCTTCTCCAACTCCCCACCACGGAGCTCTGCACCTGGAAAATTGGGATTCTTTTATTTCAGATTATGAGATGTGCATGGGAGTGCGTGTGTGTGCGTGTGTATGAGTATGTGTGGGATCATTAATACGTGCATACAATGCAAGAGTGTGCCAGCGCAGCAGCTTATCCCATTCTTGCCATAACACAAAAATTTGATTTGCAAGTAAAGTCACTGACGAGGGAAATCACTTTCTCTCTCATGCTGAGAACCACGAGACGTTGCATCTTTTTATGGCACAAGCATGTGTGTAGAGTCTGGAGGAACACAAAGAGACAAAGATACACACTAGCTAAAAGCTAAATTTAAATACAATTTTCAGAAACGCTTTACTTCATAAGAACCTCTAGAGAACCCTTGGCATTCTTAATCCTTGTAAAGTTTTCACATTTCATCAAACTCAATGAATTATATTTTGATTTTATGTGACAAATCAACACAAGCTAACAGATAACTGTAATGGTTAGGGAAATTAAACACATTAAAAAAAAAAAAAAGGTCAGATGCATTTTTATTCAGCTTCTTTCACTTTTATAACACCATATGAAAAGCAATCCAACAAATTGCCGCACCAGACAAGTTTGAGATGCGTTTGTGAAGAAGTTCAGAGAGTGGTTAATGTATAAAGCAACTTCTCAAGGTTTAAGAATTCCACACAGGTTCTTAAAGTCTAAAGGTCCAGTCAACAATATGAAAATGAATTAATCAGAGAAGCAGCTAAGAGATCCTTGATAACTTGGAAAGGAGTAGAGACCCACAGCTGAGGTGGGAGAAGCTGAAGGCAGAGCAAATATTCATTATACACTCCATAAATCTGTGTTGATAAAAGATGACAAA